CTTGCTAGGCATTCTTAATCTTATGTATTTGGTAGATAAAAAAACTTTGTCCCCCACACGAAAGGGGGGTTGGAGTGAGCGGTGTTTATCAGCTTGCTTCTTGTAGGGTTCTGCCGCATCTGCTAGAGCTTTCTTCGCATTTTCCCATCCTTTCTTTAGAGTGTCCATCCATTCATTCAGAGACATGGAAGAGGGAGGTTCTCTAGGCAGCTCAGCAGTGGTGGGTTCTGGATTCCGTTCCAACCAGTACGGTTGGAACAGCCCCAGCATCACCTACATGCATGTGCGCGGTGCACGGATGTGTTGTAGCTGCCAGCGACGCTTCCACAAGCCTCCGTGATGCTCCAGCTGCTCAGCGGAGCATCGCGCAGGCATTGTATGCGCCATGCGCATGTGCGGAAGCGCTGACAGCTTTAAAACACAGTAAGGAGCACGGGCTGGTGGGCCCTCCGGAGCACCATACCGGAATGCTATCCGGTGCTCCGGGCTGACCCCCAGTGGCTGCAGTTAGCTGTCTGGCACTTGAGGGGGACCACCTGAGGAGGGACGGCTTTTCCCTGCAGGTGATCCAGACCATCCAGGCGGCAAGGAGGCCCGCTACTGTCAGAATCTATGATTCAACTTGGGCTACCTTTGCCACCTGGTGTTCCGCCCGTGATCTCGATCCGGCCACTGCTGCAGTACCACGCATCTTGGACTTCCTGCAGGCATGTTTGGACAAAGGACTTGCTCCGAACAGTCTCCGGAGGCAGGTAGTGGCTCTGTCCACCGTCTGGACTGGACATCCATCCCAGGCCCTCAGCAAATTGCTGAGGGTGCGTACCTTCCTCAAGGGCGCCTCGAACCTACGCCCCTCCAGTTGTTCATCGCTACCCCACGTGGCAGCTCTCCATAGTTCTTCAGGCTCTGACTTCGCCCCCTTTCAAACCGCTTTTTCTGTTAGTTTCCGACATCTGACTCTTAAGACCGTTTTCCTCATTGCCATTACCTCAGCGCAGGGGATATCGGAGTTGGCAGCCCTGTCTGTTCGGGACGATTTATGCATCATTCACCTGGACAGGGTCGTCCTCCACTTGGACCCGATTTTATTCCCAAAATTAACTTTTGGTTTCACAGATCACAGGAGGTGATCTTGCCGGATTTTTGCCCACGACCCAGACATCCCAGGGAACGTACCTGACATAAGCTGGATGTGTGATGGGTCCTACGCAGATATTAAGAGGACTGCGGAATTTCGCAGGTCTGAGGCGTTGTTTTTATCTTTTCAACCAGCGTCGATGGGGCGGAAGGTAACATCATCCACCATCGGACAGTGCCTGAGGGCTTGCATCGCCCTGGCATATGAACATCAATCCAGGCCAGTTCCACGCAACGTCACTGCCCACTCCACGAGGAGTGCTTCTACAACGGCTGCCTGGCGACCCAGGTGTCGATAGAGGACATTTGTAGGGCGACAACCTGGTCGTCCCCCTCTCCGTTTGTCCGGAACTATAAGTTAGACATGTTTGCCTTGGCAGAGGCCTCATTTGGCAGACGGGTGCTACAACAAGTTCACTCTGCGGCCGAACCCTTTGCCGCCTCTTCTACCAGCCCTGGGGACACCTAACTTGGGTGTGTCCCATGCTTGGACTCTCCAAGCAGTGCACAGGTAAATGACCATTGGCTTATCTGAAGGGTCCTTTCTTTTTTTCTTTTTTTAAATAATTTTTTATTTTTATTACACAAACAATACATACAGACAACAATAAAAAAACAGAAAAAAAACAAAAAAATACACACACACACATACACACACAAAGCATCATCACATACGACATGTCGTTTGGTTATAGGTGTTTTAACATCCATATTCTCGAATAACATTTACCATCACAGATTTTTCAT